TTAATATATTTTCTACTAATATATTTCGTTAAAAATCGGCATTAAATCACAATTACTAGCAGCCTATTTAATTCCTTAAGGAGCAATATTTTATGCAACCTGTATGAATACAAATCCTGCAACGCAGTCCGCTCCTGCAAATAAACAACATTGTCCCTTTCAGAACGATATCGAAATATTCACCATGATCTATAAATACAGAGAGCATAAGTGTGAAAATCTAAACGAACTACACCGTCCTACTTGCCTCATCCTTTCCTGCTATTCCTGCAAATAACATGCGTACTTATTTGAACGCCGAAATTTCTTCCTGTTCCTTGGTTTAGTTGACGTTCAGCTGTTTTAGGTTCAGTGTCACTCGGTTTTTATTGACTTGTTTTTGAGTAAGGTTACAAAAAGGGCAAGGATTGGAAAAGTGATATACTGGTAAGATATTTTAAGGCTTTTTCTGTCGATAAAGTTCAATTTTCACGTAGAGTTCATACAGAAATATTAAGAAATTGCATGTTAGCGAAGTAAGGTTGTTGTTTTTATAAATATTGCGTGTTTTGATGACATTCACTAAGAAATATATTGTTTTGTTAAGGCTTTATTATATTTTTTTATACGTCAAATGTAAATAATGTACATACTAATGTACAAATACCAATTTTTATATACATTTTAAATTATTCATTTTTTACTGCTTAAGATAACAACAAATTACCAATAAACTCGATTATTACCTACCTGTGAAAATAAATTTGTTTATACCAGCTAATTACTAAGAAAATTACCTTAATGCCATGCCAAAAATATTATAATTTTATACCATAATTATAAAGCAATTTGTTATTGATTTAAATCAGTAGAATATATATATATATATATATATATATATATTATATATATATATATATATATATATATATATATATACAGGATAAGTTATAACTATTGAGAAATTGACATAACATGATGGTTAGCTTATTTGGAGCAAAATATGGATATTGGACCAAATAATACTTAATAAAATGTCGTGGAAAAAAAATTAATGTTAAAATATAATCAGTAAACTCTCATCAAAATCGGCACACTGAAATAATTTTGGAAAGGCCATATAATAATCCATAATTTGATTTTATGATACACACGTCGATAGTTCCTGATGATGAAATTAGGTCGAAACTTTTTTAATGTCAGGGAATTTGATTAAACAAATAATATAAAGTGTAAATTATCTTTACGTTATCAATATCAATATTCACCAGGAAAAAGAATTCTTGTAGTTGGCTGTAAACAATGAATCACAAAAATTTGTATTTAAAAAAATCATTTATAAAAGGTTTCTATCTATAGGCAAGATGACCGTTTGTCCAGTAAACTAACGACGCCATCTAGGAAAGAAATATAAACTACCATATTTCAATCATAATTTGTTCTTGAAAAGATACGTTTAATTAAAATACTAACAATATTATTTATATACAGGGTGTTTCAAAAAGGTATGTCATAAATTAATTAAAAATAATGATAATAAATAGAGGAAAAATAGAGGGTAGAAGAGGCGTAGGAAGAAGACGCATTTCCTTTTTGAAGAACCTGAGAGAGTGGTTTGGTTGCATATACAGTGCTTTCCAAATAAAACTATCCACCTTAAATAACTTTTGAACCTCTAATTTTTTGGAAAAACGCAAAACCACGTCAATTAATATTTGAAGGGGAGACGTTATATCATATTTAAGGTTGCTGGGAAATGCAACCTTTCACCCCCTGTATCAACCCTTTATTTTTTTTTAATTACTTCCTTCTTATTTTATTTTATATTTGGATTCTCCTTTTTGTGTTGATTTCAAAAATGTATAATACCTTTGGTTTGAAGTGATTATTTTATGAGATAGACAATTTTTCTGTTAACAAGGATAGTATATCTCTCAGCTTAAATGACTGAAACAAAATAGGTTGTAGCATAATTTAAACTTTTTAAATGTTTAACCTTACTATTTGTAGTACCTTCAAAAACCAAGAAATAAAAAAATTCACTTTTTATTAAAGTTTTATCAAAGGTTAAGGATAACCTTTCCGAAGATTTGGTTGTATTTCAACATGATGGAGCTTCTCCACACTTTGCTTTACCTGTTCGATAATTTTTAAACTTTGACCTAGGGTAAACCTAGGTCACCTAGGTCACCGGATTGAACACTCCTAGACTTCTTCTTTAAAGGGTATTTAAAAACAAAAATTTATGCTACTTGACCAGAATCTCTAGATGATATACGATAAAGAACAGAGGATGAATCTTCTTCTTCTCGTGCCACTCCTAGCGGAGATTGGAAATCATCATGGCCACTGCGACTTTGTTAGCAGCGCGCCTAAAAAGTTCAATCGAACTACACCCGAACCATTCACGTAGATT